TGTACTCCTTCAAATTAATTTAAGACCAGAAATTGAGGACACAAGAGCACTCTATATTTCTTAAAACAAGTTGATGAAATGTGCTTGTAAAGATTAAATACAAACATGACAGCAATGTAATGGTTCATGTAATAGTGTACTCATAAACTTCTTTAAAATGTTTTGATTGCAGTTGTTTTAAATGTTTCTTGGCAGGCAGTGTTGATGCAACGTTTTAATAAAAAATAAATAAAACATGCTAAGAAAACTATGTATCCCAGTTGAATCATATGGTCTTGTGATCTTGCAATCAATTAAAAATAATAAATAAAAAAATCTGAACTATGCCTTTAACTGTTATAGTTACCTCATTAAGTTTAAAGCACAGAGTGTACAGATGCAGATATGAAAAAAACAAAAAAAAAAACAAATCTGCAACATGTAAGAGACATTGTTGGTGATGTAGTAGGCGTTGGTCAGATTGTCCCTGCCTTGGGTCGGCTCTGCATCTGCAAAAGTAAAACAAAAATGCAAATGAAAAGAAAAAAAAGAAGCAGGCCGACTCTTCCGCCACTAAAATCGACTCCACCCTTAACAAACTTTAATTATTCAATTGATCCTCTATCAGTAAGTTAATAATCAATTAAGTAAACCAATGGAATTCACTTGGGTGCAGACAGCCGGTGTCCATGACAATGGGATCAAGAGAAGAGGCGATGGAGGAGAAGGAGGGATTAAACTGGATGCTCACCTCTGAAGCTTGGCATATTTAGGTTTGGCGATGGACTGAGATCACATTCTTGTAAAATTAGCATTTCATGAGCTAAAAACAGTCATGGGAGTCAAGTCACAACTTTTGTCTAACCTGATTTTAAAAAGGACAGTTCAAAATTAGGTCCTAGTAAAAAGCTTTACAATGTAATATGAAGCCGGAACTGGATAAATGTTGGTAGCTTGCCTTATCTTTCTAATATGATCCAAGAAAAAGAAAGACAATCAGAGATATAATTCTTGTTTAAGGCAGTCAGGACACAAAATCCCATTGCACTTGAACTCCACAAAGTGACCTCCTTTATTGCTTGTTTGGGGGGGAAATTGGCAGTAGAGTCAAACTGATGAACTTTTTGATGGGCAGCACTAAGTTTTTCTTGAGAGAGCATGCAAAGCGGCTCTGGCTGGAGCCACGGAAAGGCTCGTCTTGTGGCAGCAAAGCACAGAAAGCGCTCAGAGTCGCAAAACGGAGCACAGCGCACTCACAGCCCGCTCACAAACCTCAGACTTGAGACACAAGGAGCGGAAACGGGTCGAATCCTACTTCAAATTCTCTTTCCTCTCGGCTTGTCGACCGGGGAAAACAAACCGACCTGAGGCGCGGCGAATGGGGATTTACTAATTAACTACTTGCACACACACTCATACACACACGGAGAGAGAGAGAAAGAGAGAGAGAGAGAGAGAGAGAGAGGGAGATGCACACCTCCTGTTCTCCCTCCTCCTCCCCCTCCTTCTGCTCGCCTCCCCGGGTTCAGGTTGGTAGTTGAGCTGCCTCTCCTCCGTGTCTCGGTGCGCCGTCAGAGTGGATGCGCTTGGATTGACTGTGTGCGCTTCAGCCGGTGAGAAGATCACTTCCTAAAAACAAACAAACAAACTAAATCTGAAGGTATGTTTTGTTCATAATACTGATGATGTTGGTTTCATTTTGTTGGCTGACTCACGTCTGTTTTAGACTGATGGAAAAAAGAAGAAGAAGTTGTCTGCGCGTTAGCTCCAAAGTCTTCAGTGATGAAATTATTTCGCTTATTTTTCGCTAGAATATAACTTTCCCTTGTTTACATGGACGCTGTTTTCAGGAACAAAAAAAAGTTGAACCGCGCGTGGCATTTTCTTTCTTTCTTCTTTTTTTTTTTTTTGGTTGCAGTTGTTTTGTTTTTGGAAGAAATGGAAACAGGTTTCTGTGCGCGCACCGCGGGGGGTGGTGGTGGTGGTGGGGGATTTTGCTCTTTAAAGTCTGTAAGCAGGTGGGGAAAGTCTCGGCTCCACACGCGTTCAGCTGTCTGCGTTGGCCCGGATTAGCCTTTAAATGTCTCTATTTGTTAAGGCGTCTCGCTCTCACCTCCACGCGGCCGTATCAATCAGTCAATTAAACAGGCATTCACGCGGCGAGCTGCACGGCGCCGCTGGAGCCGGCGCACATCTCTCACTCCCTCTCTCTCCCGTTAATGAGCGCTGCCCATTTGGCTCACGGAGAGTATTCATGGGTGAGTTTGGATATTCATGAGGCCCGCGTTGCGCTTTCGCGTCCACTAATTTCATTAATTAGCTTATGATTATTTATTCATCACTTTTTTTTTTTATGTTCGTTTTGTGATTTAACATTAGAGTCGGGTTCAAGTTCAATCGCCTGTCTCCAACGTGCAGACTTTTTTCGGAATGTCTACGACATTTTTTTTTTTTTTTTCCAAGTTTCTTCTCGCAGATTTCTCCCAAATTTCTCCCAGCAGAGGTTTTCTTTCTGGGATCAAATGTCAATGTGAGTCCTTTGCAAAGGACGAGGCTGAAGTTTACAAGTTTACTCCCGCAGAAATGAAGCCAATAATTTTTTATTTTATTTATTTTTGGCTGAGCTTGTGTTGGTATCCAGACTCGCCTGGGAGTTTGTGGGCACATCGATAACACTTCGCAGTCAAGCTTTAAAAACATATTTGGAATAATCTTTATTTGATTTCGCAGGTTTCACGAGTTTTTATTTATTTATTTATTCATTATTTATTTATTTTCTGTCTCTTTTTTAAGGTGTTTGCCCCCCCCCCCCTCTCTCCTTCAAGTTTTGATGCATATTTATGCGCGCCATGGGTGTAGTCCCATCAATTATTTGTGCCGGTATATTTCCAGATAAACAGTGTTTGTAAATCGATACATGCATGTAACTATTGCAGATTAAGAGATCGATCAATGGATCCACCCGAAGACCAGAAGTACAGCCAATCCGTGCGCGTGCGCGTGTCGGCGTGTGTGTGTGTGTGTGTGTGTGTTTTTATTCACAGCTGACTTCAAGAAACATCAGCCATGCAAAAAAAAAAAAAGCGCGCGTGCATGACGGTGCGCCTATGACTAAAAACAAGATATACACAAATTGAAAAGTTAATTTGATTTATGTCTTTTACGTACCAGACGAATCCAATTATTATTATTATTATTATTATTATTATTATTATTATTATTATTATTGGTTGTGTGTCAAATATAAGGATGGATTGTAGATTAATCAAACACGTTTTTATTACATTAATATATGGATCCGCGCAACTTTCTTCGAGTTTCATTTTTGAACATCATTATTCATTTGTTCATGCTTACAGATGTTTGGCTTTTTATTCCAGACTCTTGGTCTGTGATTCAGTCACGAGCATCAGTCTGTGTTTCTGGTTGATGTTTTAGTTTAGTGTGTGTTCAGTCTCAGGCCAACATGTTGAGCTTCCTCTTTCCGGTGGAGCTCGTGGACTGTTTTTTTTTTTTTTTTTTTTTTCAGCTTAATTGTTCCGCTCTGTTGCCACTGAAGGAGGGTGAATTAGCCTACGACATTTAATTGCATTTCAGGAAACGCATTTCCATATTAGATCTTTCACCTTTTCAGGGTCGGAATTTAACTCATCAACTCGTCCGCATTACTTTGATATCCAACTTTTTTTAATGCAAATAAATAATTGTAGACAGTGATTCACACGATGTGTGGCTGCTATACAGAAAATTATTATTATTATTATTATTATTATTATTATTATTATTATTATTATTATTATGAAACTAACGACTTCTGACAAAAAGGCTAAATTCCGCCTTTTCCGATTATTTTTATTTTATTTGAATTTTCAATTTTTAATTAGTTAAATTTTTTTGTTTTTTTTTTAGGCCCAGTAAAATGCTTTATGTTTTTTTCCCCCCACTTTCTTAATTTTGAAGAACTTTTCTGGTTTCTCGGCCTCCATAACTTCCGCAAATCACAAAATAAATACAACGCGGTCGGTTTTTGTGCTGTTTAACTAAACTCCACTGTATGTTTGTTGTTACTCATTTATCTTTTTTTCGAGATACTGGTAAAACACATTCAGGACACGTACATCTGTGAATCAAACTTTCATATCTGCTATTTATTTGTTGAGTTCTTAAGACTTTCTCCATCAGTTGCAGTTGTGAAAAAAATCAGGAATTTTTACCCCTAAATTCCCCCCCTCCAAAAAAATGCTCTCATCCTTAATGTGTTGTCATCTGGAAAGCAATTTCGTATGATCAAAGTACAGCTAGTTAGTGTGGTCAATATCCTTTCCAGCAAGTTTCACATATATCGATAACAAGACGGCGGAGCCTCCCGCCGTGCTGCATTCAGGTTCCCTCTCTCTCCGCTCCGTGCAGAAAACCCGGAGAGTATCAGCGCTTAAAGGGAAGAGATAACTTTATATTCATTTGAACATGGAAATATGACTCCCCGAAGGAAGTAAAATTTGAATTCTGTTTGCATTCGGATTGGGTAATTCGTGAAAAAGTATGGAGCCTCCAAAAGACGCGTCAAGCAATTAGTGCCAGTGATCATCATTTGAAGCTTATAGTGTCATGTGTTGGTCCTCCTCGCTGCCCCTTTACTGTATGACACTAAGAGTCAATAAAGCGATTGATCTGTGGTCTGTGAGGCAGCAGGGATCCTGCGGGAAAACGTCAGAACACAAGTTTTAGTATCGGCCCGACTCATCTGGGCCGAAGCGGCGCAACTCCCCAAATGCTTCTTCATCATTTGATCTAAATTCCATGAATTTCTATAATAAAAACAACAAGAAAAAAATGCAAAATGCATTTGCAAATGTTTGTCAGATAAACACCCATGTAGGTAGTAGTTTTTTTTTTTTAAATTGTCTATATATATACATATATTTGCATGTTTGGGTTTTAGTGACGCCTCCGTGCAGTGCGACAGCGGCGCTCTCCCCTCGTCTCCTCCCTCCTCCCGGATCGGACGACCCGCAGCGGCGCGCAGACTCCAGCCCAGACCGGGAGAAGGTGATCGAGCTTCGGCCTCAGGTGCATCTCTGAGGCGGGGCGACGCGGAAGGTCCAGGTGGGCGATTCCTTCTTTTTTCTATTGTCCGCTCGTGTCAGTGCTTCCATATCATTTTAAAAGTGCAGAATTAATTGCATCGCAAAAGTTTTAGTGCTAAAATGACGAAGCTCACGGACACAAATGATCTAATAAGTTCCGTGTTTTATTTTTATGATGAAGTTGTTGTTAAACGGCTGTGCTGTAAAACTGACAGCCGTAAAACCTTTTTTAGTGCTGGATAAACTAACATAACTTTGTGGCCTCATTGCTGAATAAAAACAAACCGCCATAAATGTTCTATTTATATTTCCCAAAATGCTTTGCAAATCTATGATGTAACCACATAAGCATACAGCAGTTTTACTGTCCAAAGCGATATTTCTGTCCACGGGCTGCACAGGCTTTTCACTGTTAGAATAATCAAAATCACAGTGTATTAAATTGTTTATTGTTAAAATGTTAATTGGAAATTGCAACAATTATCCAGTAGTGTCTGAATTTTAGTTTTGCAGTTATGTTATTGTTGAACCGTTTCACAGTATGGACATCTGTAATACAAAACTACAATAAAACTGTTATCAACATGTTTAATAAACTGAAAAGCTACCATAAATTATTACTGCAATCCAGCGTAAATCAACAAGAGCATGACATAAACATATAACTTGCTGGTAAAAATAGCTGTATATGTTTTTTTTTTCCAACGGTCAAAAATGATGAGATTATCATTTACAATAAAAACAGCAAAATGTTTAGAGTGGACACAAAAATAAAGTGTTATTTCAAAATGTGCCGATTTTGGTTGGTATAGATTAATACAATTTAAGATTCAAGCTAATACTGTAGATTTGAAACACATTATACCAGTTTGATGCCACAACATAAAAAAATACATATTAGTTAAACTTTTTAGACACTCCAGCTCTTTTTTTTTGAAAAAGGAGTGAACAAAATCTGTCTGCGCATAATCAAAGATTTTCTCAGCAACATTTTTAGACCAAATTCTAGATTTTCTTTGAGCCAGCCAAGGCTCGGACGTCTCCCTAAGCTCCTCTTTGCCTCCCCCAACTCTTCCTGTCTGATATTAGCCCCCTGGCTCGCCTTAAAATGTGCGTTTCATTATTTAGGATTCAGTTCTGTTTGCCAGTGTAGACACACTTGTACCTGTTACATCTCAAGCCTATAGGGCAACTGAAGGACTCCTCTGTATCTTTTCCACCACTTTCTCACCTCCTCCCCTCTTCTGTCATCCCTCACTATACCGCACCTGGTAACTACAAACTTGTACACAATAATAACAGCCGCATGTACCTATCTATCTCTCTATCTAGCCTGTCGGCAGTTAGTGGAGTGGCTGAGAGACTTGCAGGCGTGAAAGGTCAGTTAATCAATGGCTCACAATTTGACAAATCCCAGCGACTCTTATCATCCTCACGGGTGTTTAGGGGCCAAAAGGAGGACCACCGAGATAAATGCTTAATCCTGGCCGCTCAGAGAGGAGCGAAAGAGAACAAGCGGGTAAGCAGATGGGCATGCAGAGAGGTTGGGAGAAGCAGGGAGGTGAGGAGGGGGTTGTTTGGAGGAGTAGGTGAGCAAAGAAAAGTAAAAGCAGCAAAGAAGGAGATGTAAAAGTGACTCCATTGCACAACTGGAAGGTGAACAAATGCGCCTGTATTTGGAAGATGTCAGCCCACTGCTTTCGTCTGTCACGTTCAAAAAGAAGCACGCGACTTTGCGGCTCTCAGATCACTAGGCTTGCCTGGGGCTGGACAGGCCATGCACATGCCTTCTGGGCTGACGTACAAATCCGCTTCAGTCTTAGTCATGGGTTTGACACGATGTGTAAAGTTGAGAAAAACCTGAGGAAAACAAAGGTGTATGAGTGCCTGAATTCTCCCGTGGCATGTTAGCTCGCCTGCAGCAGTGTGCAACCAAGAGGAAAATGAGCTTTTGTCCACAAGGCTGGCCCTTTTCTTCCCTCTATTTTTCAAGCTGCAGGGGTTTGGAAGGTGGCAAACTCTCTCTGCCCTGTACCCTTGACAAAGATCACCTCAGTGTGACATCGGATCAGTTGTTTTTTTTACCCCACTGAATTGTTTGTGGTTTTTAATCTTTTCTAGCTGTTTCATCATGTCTAACATAAACTTAGGTAAATGCTCAAATCTAAACACTGAATATGTTTTCCGGCTTTCTCAGGTTGACCAAACCATTGCTTTACTTAGTCTAGAATAATACATTGTACATGTAATATTATTTTGTTGGCTAATTGGTCATATTACCATTGAATATAAAGGAAGATCTTAAAACTTATGGCTTTATAGCCCATTTTATCAACTATAAAAGAATTTCTGCTATATTCAGAAATAATAGATGCAATTCTGTAGTTTTTTTCTCTTTGTAGTCATATTACTTATTTATAAATAATATGACAGACAGTGCTGGTCCAAGTCAAATGCGAAGTAAGTTGCTGGATAGGGCCTCCTGTCCAGCAGGGGGCTTAATAACGCACAAACATATATATATATAAAAACTAGCCTACTTTCATATTTTCCTAAAGACTTAGGAATAGCACATTTTTCAGAAATGTAAAATATTTCTCAAAATTTGTTTAGGATTTGTAAAAATTGGTAAATTATTGACATGTATTTTTGCAGAGAAATGTATGTGTAGATTACAGTTAAGATGGTTCTAATTTAGTTTGTTCATGTCTTCTGTTTGTGTCTGTGCTGAAGTTACATTTCATCCAAACTGTAGCCACAAACTAAGCATCAACTACATAAAAATTAGCCAATTATTTCCAACTCGACACTGAAACGTAATAGTCCACGAATGACTGCCAAACAGTAAGCCACAATTTATTCATTTATGTTGGTTTAAATATTATATATACTACAACCAGGATCCAAAATCTAATTTGGATTAAGTCCCCATGCCCACTTGAACTGGCATTGCTCAGACAGAAGGCAATGTTATCTTGTTGTTTGTTCAACCAAATTTTGAGGAATTGAGTTTGCATGCATGCATTGAGATTTCATCTGAGCTCTTTCTTTAGAAGAGAATCTGGCACACCTTGAGTGTCCTTTATCGCCGTCTCAATACAAATCCAATGTAATTCAATTGAGATAAGTTGAATTGGCATGACAGCAGATCTCTAGTATTGCCAAACCACTTAGGAGGCAATGACAGGACCGCGTCGATGCATACTGACACATACACAACACCGACCGACCTCGAAGTGAACCTGAGACGCACTCACAGATGAAGCTCTAAGTCGGTGACGAGCCAAGTCAAAGACATTTTGGGAAAGTAATCTCAGGAACATAGAAGTTGAAGGTTTTTTGAAGAATATGAAGCAAAGAGGAAAAATCTGATGAAAGGAAGTGGATGGAGAGAGGAGGATTGGGATAGAGGAATTGAAAAAACAGAATGAGGCACCGGTGCCTCCAAAAAGTTTTTTAGGGAGCATCCAGTTGTTGCCCACTAATAACTTTGGGTTGCCAGGCCAAAAACAAAAAAACGGAATAGAATTTTAGAATACTGTTTTGATGTATACAATGGCATTCAATGAAAGCCAAAAATGTCACAACTTATTGAAACATTTGTTCATTTATTGAAAGATGTTTGCAGTGTCGGACTGGGGCGAGTGGGGCTGCCTCCTTGGTAGCATGGAAAGAAGTTAGAGGAAGAATGAGACCATAGACTGAAAAAGAAGAGCAGAAAAGATAAAGAGACTAAAGAGGGGCAGGTTCAGAGGGGGATAAAATGTATAAGAGTGATGTATGAGAAGAGAGAAAAGGAAGAGATTTACTACAAGAGAGATTAAGTCAAGTTGTCCCCGGTCAGTCATTAATCCGATTTAAGCGCAATTAAGGTGAGACTGATTCCTTCCTAGAGAGAAAGAAATAGATGGAGAGGCTGTAAAGAGGGAGAAGGGTGAGAGGGGTTGGAGGTGGGAGACAGGAATTGTAGACGAGGATGGAGTGATTGAAAGAGAAAAGTGGGAAAATGAAAACAGGTGTCTGAACTCAGAGAGGCTGTAAAGTGGGCAAATTAGAGACAGTGTGATGCAAACAGACTCCTGATGAAACATTTTAATCTGTGCATTTGATCAGAGGTTTGATATTTTGAAAATACAGGTGGATATTTTGCAAACTCTTTATCAAACATGTTTGCTGGAGTTACTATAAGAAATCGGCTATTGGCCAAAATTGGCTGATTTTCAACTTGGCTGGTCTTAACTTATGATCTCATCAAGAAAAACAAACAAACAAAAAAACCTCACCTTTGAGTGTTTGTGAAATCACTGTACTGTACTAGAAACCACACTCTTCTGTGTGGAAGTTTTTTCCAGAAGGAAGAAGACTCTAAATTAGCTATTTTCAGAGTAAGTGAGATGAGAACCTTAATTGTCAAATCTGAGCTACTGAAATGGGAACTTAATTGTCTATGTAGACATGATTGCAAAGTGTTCACAGTGGTCATTCAAAATGGAGTGTGGCTTTCGTAGATAAGAAAGTTCAATGTAATATAGTAAAGATCAAAATCAGGGATTTCAAACTTAAGGCAGTTTTTAAAATGAGGTCATTAAAGGTACTCTGCTGAACTTAATGACTATTTGAGGAGGTAATTCAGCAATTAGATTCAAGGGAGCTGAAGCATTTGCTCCCTATTTATATTTTCTAATGCTAATCATGCTAATTGCCAATAAAAGATTCTCAGAACAGATAAAAATTGAAACTGACATTTTTTTTCATGTTTTAAAATACAACATGTTTTTGTTTGTTTGCCATCGACATTTAACAAGATTCTGATAGTATTGAATACTCAAGAAAGCTGAAAGGAAATGTTTTGAACTTTTAATTGTGGCTCTTAAAAAGACATTGGATTAGGCAGAAATTGGTATGAAATTGGTCAAAATAACTGATCAGTGCATATTTGCCAATGTTAATAATTTACACAGAATGCACCTAACACTATCTTATTCCCCTTACGGCAACTAACCAGTTTGTTGTTTCTGC